TCTGCGCTGACCCGCACACTGGTTATTTCGTTTCACGTATGCTGAAGTAATAATGGAGTGCGTTGGTGAAAGGGAAGCGTCTACGGAGACATTTATTTTTTGTTTAGTCAGGTTTTGACCGGTCGTACCGATTCGGGTCATTTATTGTTAGCTCGCAAATTCTAAAATATAATTGTACAGTTCTAAATTAGGCCACGTAATGCCCACTATGGGTTTAATGTTATGTGTTGAGAGAAAAAAAAAACCTATTTAGAGCATCATGTATACTCTTCTAAGCGAGACATGCATGCAGCTGCCCCTAGTTGTAAAGATAGGCTTCTTGCGTGCTCTAGGCGTACAATACGTGTTAATGATTCAGAATACTTTCTATATTACTGTGGCAGAGCTACCTAAAATAAATAACTAAAATAAAACAAACCAGGGTAACCTTTCTGCTTTGCCGTCTCCGTTTCTTTTTTTCTCTTTCTCGCTCTCTTTGTACGAACCAATTCCACAACTGTGCAGACTTCTCATTCTGTTGCCTGCACGGCTACGGGGCGGGATGACAATCCACAGCTGAATATCTCCGTCGTGCAGAATATATTCGATAAAGAACATATTTCATAATAAAGAAAGCTTTCTGTGGCTGTGTAATGTTCAGGGTTTATTTGGTTTGTGTAGTTATTTTGTGTGCGATCTACTTTCTGTGGGCTGCATGTCTATTATTACAAAAGGGCTCTTTAGTGTAAAGGTACGCAATTGAAGAGTGATTTTCTCAATAAATAATAGTGAACCAAATGAGCAGCTGATCGATATTTACCTCCACGTTCCCTGTTTTGCATATTAGAGCCCTTGAGCAACAGGCTAAGAGGCAAGGCCTATCTATGTTTATAAAAGTGTTGAAAATTTCGTCTGGCTACTGTTGCACTCACGTCAGTGTTGAGAATTTCGTCTGGCTACTGTTGCACACACAATTTGCTGTTCATTCGACACATTTCCAACAATTACCGCTGTTCCAGTCTACGCACATTTTTCAGAAACTTATGTCTCGTCTGTTTTGACGTTTATTATAGCAAACGGCATTCATACCCCATCCAAATTGGCGCTAGCTTGCATGTGTCAGTCGGCTGTCGGCGATGCTACATGATAAGTAAAAACTGTATCTTGCTATAACATGACGAATGTGCCATGAGCTTGCCTCGGCTGTTGAGTAAGATAGTATGTGCATTTTTCTTTGCGCATGCCGCCTATGGTCGGGGTTTTTGTGCAAGGGTTACGTCGACTCTGAATAAACCTCTCTCGTAGACGTAACAGAGTGGTGTAGGTGCTGGTTACGGCACGTCGACGTACCACGGAGCCACAGCTGTTCGGAGTTTGCCGGAGCCGTCGTCTTGCCGGTCTACCGCCGACAACAGTCGTCATGGCCCAGAGCGAAGGTCAGGAATCAACCGCCTCGACTTCGCGCAGGTCTACGCTGGCTACACCTAGGCATCACTACATTGAACCCCGCCCGTGCGCTGGAATGGCAGGAGAAGATGTGGACGCGTGGCTAACGCACTACAAAAGGGTGAGCCGGTACAACCACTGGAACTCTATCGATCAGCTGGTAAAAGTCACTTGCCACCCTTGCAGAAAGCAATGATTCCCCGGATAAGACTTGTTGCGATAATCTGCACGCCAGGGACACCACAATTATGCCTATGATAAGTCACTCAGCACCAACGAACGTAATGAACTGGCGAGTATTCTGTGCAAACATGCCCGTATTTTTGATTTCGCTCAGCATGATTCACCGTCATTCCCTGCTTCTTGTATAAAGCACGGAATCGACACGACATCTCACAGACCTCTCCGACAGAAACCATATCGTGTATCGCCTTCGGAACGCGCAGTGATCAATGAACAGGTTTGCGAGATGCTCAAGCAAAATGTAATTCAAGAATCATGTAGTCCGTGGGCCGCTCTAGTAATTCTAGTGAAGAAGAGGGATGGGACGTGGCGATTTTGTGTTTACTACCGCCGTCTCAACGCCATCACTAAAAAAGACGTATACCCACTCCCGCGGATTAATGATGCTATCGACTGTCTATCATCGGCCTCTTTTCGTCTGTGGATCTGAGGTCAAGCTACTTGTAGATTACAATGCACGAGGAAGACAAGGAGAAAACGGCATTTGTTACAACAGATGGACTATTTGAATTCAATGTGATGCCGTTCGGACTCTGCAACGCGCCCGCAACTTTTGAGCGATTTATGGACAACATTCTGCGTGGATTGAAGTGAGAAGTGTGTATGTGTTACATGGATGACGTTGTACTTTTTGGGCGCACCTTTTGTGAGCACAACACACGCCTTGGCCTCGTACTGGACTGCCTAAGCAAAACACGCTTGGTGCTCAACTCAAAGAAATGTCGTTTTGGAGAGCGCCAAACACTCGTCTTTGGACACTTAGTAAACAAAGAAGGCATACGACCGGATCCCGCCAAGAAGGCCGCAGGGGAGGAATTTAAGCAACCAAACTCGGTGAAAGAACTGCGCAGCTTTTTTGGGGCTTTGTTCATACTTTCGCCGATTCATTCCTGGCTTTGCAATATCGCATACCCGCTCACGTGTCTGCTTCAGAAAGGTGCGCAGTTTGACTGGACCCCGGAATGCGAGTCTGCTTTTTCGGAGTTGAAGTTTCTTTTGACGTCTCATCCGATTCTTCGAAACTTCAATTCTTTGACTCCCACTGAGATTCACACAGACGCCAGCGGTATTGGTGTAGGTGCTGTCCTGGTTCAACGCTTGGATAATCAAGAACACGTCGTAGCGTATGCAAGTCGCTCGCTCCGCAAGTCCGAGCGTAACTACACTGTCACAAAGCAAGAATGCCTTGCAGTAATCTTCGCAGTGCAGCGCTTCCGGTCCTACCTGTACGGACGCCCCTTTACCGTCGTGACAGACCATCCTTCTCTATGCTGGTTGGTCAATCTGCATGACCCATCTGGTCGGCTGGCATGCTGGGCACTTCGTCTACAAGAATATGACTTCACGGTGTCTTATAAAAGTGGCCGACGTCACGCTGACGCAGATTGTCTTTCGCGACTACCGCTTCCAATGACGGAATGTGACGCGGACACCTTCGATACCTACATTGCATCACTCGACCAACCATTTCCCGATAACAAGACCTTTAAGGATGAGCAACAAAGGAACAGCACCATACAACAGCTTCTTACTGCCAAACCAAAAGCATCGACGCTCTTCTGCATCCGAGACGGGCTAGTTTACAAAAAAAAAAACTACACCAACACCGGCTGACGATATCTTCTGGTGGTTCCGAAGAGTCTTCGCGTTTATGTTTTGCAGGCTATGCATGATGACCCAACATCCGGTCATCTAGGCACAGCGAAAACTCTTTGCCGTCTTCAAGAAAGATTCTACTAGCCCAAAATGCGCCAGACGACGGAACAATACGTGTCTAGCTGTAAGGAGTGTCAACGTCCTAAGCGCTCAACAAGTGCTCCTTTAGGGCAATTACATCCGGTGCCGCCCCCTAGAACTCCATTCGAGCAAGTCGGGATTGACCTCCTTGGACCCTTTCCCCGGTCTTCTGATGAAAATTTCTGGATAGTCGTTTGCATTGACCATTTAACACCGTACTGCGAGACAGCTGCCCTACCATCGGCAACTGCAGCTGATGTGTCTTCCTTCATGCTACGTTTTGTAATTCTTCGACATGACCCTCCCAAAATTGTTATCAGTGACCGTGGCCGACAATTCACAGCAGACGTGATGGAAGAGATGCTTCGTGTCTGTGCTTCAAGGTTCCGGCACTCTACGCCATATCATCCCCAAACGAACGGTCTAATTGAACGAACGAACAGAACTCTCTCGAACATGCTGTCTATGTATGTTGCATCAGATCACAAGGACTGGGACAGTATTCTACCCTTTATCACATATGCATTCAACACCGCTCAGCATGAAACTACCGGCTACAGTCCTTTCTTTCTACTATATGCTCGACCACCTCGTCATACCCTGAATACCATCTTCCCGTGTTTGGACCGCCATGATCCTTGCATATCCGAGATCATCTGTCGGGCCGAAGAAGCTAGAAGCCTTGCTTATTTGCGCACTCTTGCTTCGCAAGATCGCTCGAAGGCACATTTTGACCACCGACGCCGACACGTGACGTACAATCGCGGCGACTTAGTGTTGCTGTGGACACCAACTAGAAAACGCGGTTTGAGCGAGCAACTGCTAGCGCACTATGCGGGACCTTATCTTGTTGTAGACCGTATCAGTGATTTAGTTTACCGCATAGCGCGTCTCCAATCGAACGGCTGATGGTCTGCAAAAACTGAACTTGTCCATGTTGCACGTTTGAAGCGCTTTATTCCTCGTGAGACTGTTTGACTCGCCCAGTGGGCTTCGTCTGCGCGGAGAGAAATGTTACCACATATGTATTTTAGGTATGTGCACCTGTGTAGCGGGGAACATGGTGGGGGCAGAAGAAGAGGACGTTCGGTTGGTGGCAAGAGCTCGCTGGTGCGCGTTCACTGCTGTATACCGCCGAGTCGACCGTTACGTCGGCTCTGAATAAAGTCCTCTCGTAGACGTAACAATATGTTTGAATTCTGCATAAAATGTCTTAGAGTTGAAGTCGGTGCTTGTTCTCGTATAGTTGTACTGTGTGTCAGTCTTGTGTTTTTGTTTTCTGGGCCGTTTGCTAATATGAACTGCAACGCATAGAAAGAAAAGACTCGCCAAAAGCCTCACCAAGCATGCAGTTTTCAAACGCCCTTCTTTTTACTTTGGTGCTAAATATACAACACAAAACGCTTTTAAAGATACCGGCTCGTCATAAACACCGTGGCCACACGTTTCAGCTTCGCCGGTACACGATCTGTGTGGAATGCTTGGCTGATGATAATTTTGATTTGTAATGATTCTGTCTTAGGCTGCCACGCATGGAACGTTTAGGAAATATTCAAATATGATTTTTTGTGTTTTTTTTTCAGGAGGAACGATGATGACGTCCCCGTCCGGCCCCTGCGGCCGCTTGGATGCGGAATACCGGAGTACAAACTCGTCCTGCCAGCGCGTCAGCAGCGAGGAAAGTGATGTCGATAGCGATTCCAAGTCCGTCGTGGGTGTCCCGAGTCCTCCTCTTGTAGCGGCCACCCCCATGGCACTGTCGGACGGCCGGTGACCCAGCCGGTGATCTGCATCGCCCGCCGGCGAGCGACGCATGGAGGACGGCCGGCCGCCGCCGTACTCGAGCCGCGGTTCCGTCGCCGATCACCGACAGGTGATCATTGACTTGGACCAGGGTGCAATAGGTGCTGGTGTAGGCGGCAGGACGTGCAAGTCAGTGCCGTCGCAACAGCCGCTACAGCAGCAGCAGCAGCAGCAGTCGCAGCAACAAACCGAGCCGCCGGTGGTGACTCCACGCTACATGCGGAGCGCACCGATCAAGCTTCTCACCCATCCCGTAGATAGAAACCTCACCTGGTACTTTGTGGCCTCCATCGCATTCGTCTCCGTCTGCGCCATCATTGGTGAGTATCGTAGCTTAACGCCTATTTCCGCTGAGCGATGAACTCTGTCATTGGTAGTATTTTCACATGTGAAGCATTTTTTTCCCGTACGGTGGGCACTATAAACGTCTATCTACGTATCAGACTATCTAGCCGCCTACTGGGGCTCTCGCGATCACCCCCTCAACTAGGAGTGCACCACAATTAGTATGGGAAGATAAGATGGTCTGATGATTATGACTCGCTGTGCATGACATGAAGAATGCCACATTTTCGTCACGTGCGTCGTGCAACCCTTTCCGGCATATACGTGTGGCATAAACCCGTTTACCACGGGCGGGTATGTGCCACAGGTGATGGACAGATTCTGTCTACCCAGGAACGGTGAGGATGGATGGGCGGACAGACAGACAGACAGACAGACAGACAGACAGAGAGAGAACATGATTCGGAATTTTAACGCGAGAGCGTTAACAATAAAGGTGCAATAGGCAGCGCTGACCTGACGAATGCAACGAGCAGGTATCAGGTCCTCAGCAGTAATTAAACCCAAGCATTCTGCGTGGAAATCAAGGGTTCTACCACAGAGCCACGCCAGGTTTTAATACTATCTTGGAAAGAGAGACTAATCAGGCGTAATGCTGGTTAAACGCCAATCATGGTTGAAATGCTGCTTATCCCTTTTGATAAACATTAATACTACGACATGATACAGCGCTCACACCGGCTTTACGTCAATTGTGGCTAAGCACCATCCACAGAAGTTGAATTATACAGCAGTTTTCAGGCCTATCATCCGCTCTAGCCCAGGCGCTACATATCAGCCTATACCTATTCTGACGTCTCTAACGTTCGTGTTGCTGTTGGCATAATTACACCAAGTCTAAACTGAACTAGTTATATAAAACATATGCGAATCTTTATTATGCGACTATGCTTACAACATTTGCACATATCTTTAGCGCCATTTCGTAACGTTTTCATAATTACGACGCAATCACATTCTTCCCGCATGCTTCGCGTAACGTCGACTCGCAAAATACGTGGGATACGCTGTTTTTTTTTTTGCCAAGAATAGTGACTGCAGCCGCTGGGGTTCTTCAGATGCTGGTACAATGCCGTGACATCAACTTCGGTAGGGTGCGTCATGTGCAGTAGTAGCACTGTCAAAGCGTGCCCTCTGCGCTTTGCACCGGCAATGGTGCGGACGAAACTAGTCTCGAACGCCGCAGTTCAATATATATTAGACGCTTGTTCACATTGCGCTTGGCTGGTTTTCGTTATGGAAGATGCTATGATCCAAATGCAGAATTTTAAGCCTTGCCCGAATGCTTATTGGAGCCTCGAGTGCATAAACAGTGCATTCGCAGGTAGTTGGAATCAGTGAGTGGTAGGAACCTACTTTTCCAGTGTGCTGCGGTTCTACCGCAGGAAACGATGATGACGTTGTTCATTTCCTCATTCACATGTTTGACACGCTGGCGTGGGTGGAGCAAATAGAAGTTTTCTTGGCCTGTTTTAACGCTTGTGCTACAACAAAGTGAAAAGTACACATAAACAACAATAACGTGAATTCTTGTTAAAACCGACAACTGCCAAGAACCCGAAATGATATTAGGGCACGGATGAAAAGAGCGTCTCTCACAGCGACTCAGACTAACCCTATTTTTCTTGTGAGAAGTGCAGTTAAAAGTTATTATCCATTATTTATAGCAAAACTAGCCCCTGGCGCCACCTGGTGGCAGAAACTTTTATTATCCGATGCACCTTTTGATGTGACCGTGGACTGGTGCACGTGGTCAGCGATTTTTTTTATAGTGTTGAAATATTGTTTGCTTGTTTTGTACTAGAAAAATTTAGTCCATAAAAATGTACGTATAAGCCTGCGTTAGTAGTATGCGTTGTTGAGAAGCGCACCTCCGACGACGTTACGAAGGGCGCCTCGAAATCCCACCGCTGCCACCACTGTTACGGAAGACGGGGACGCCAACACGGTCCCGAAGGCGCCACTGCTTCCAACTCCGCCGGGAAGGTCACCAGCCGTTTGGTAGCGTATGTTTCTCAGCTCGCGCCTGCTTCTGCGCAGAGCTGATAAGACGAGCGGACGAGACGACGGTGAGTTAAACAAGGTTTATGTACAGCATATATACAGAGGCATTACAAATTCGGCACTGGGGCCGACAGAGACTCGAAGAGCCGAGCTCTCCTCTCTAACACATAGGTCTGTTCTCAAACGGGTCCGTTCTGACACACATGTCAGCTTTCACCAAGGGCCGCCGATCGCGACGCGCCGCAGGGCTTCTTTTACTTGCACCGGGTCCAACCAAAATGTCCAATCAGAAGCGCCGCTGGTCGTCAGGGCAGACTCCTCCAATGGGGTCGCCGCGCAATGCGTCAGACCCCCAGACATGAAGACGCCAGTTGTTTACTCGACGGGTCGCTTGCCGAGGCTGACTCACTGCACGTGCACGCCAGAGAGGCGTCGTTGAGTTGTTGATTGCGTCAGGCGGACTGGCCTTGACACAGATTGCCTTTTTCAGAGGCACGGCCGTTCGCTGTGGACTCGCAGGCATAACAGCACCCCCGCCGCCAGACAATGCGCCGAAAAGACGAGCTGCTTCCACGGGGCTCGGATGACAGGCGCGCTCATTCGCCAGGTCCCTCCAGGTTCGCCTCCAGGGCCATGGGGAGAATGCAGCTCCAGACTCTGTTTCGGGAACACATCCCATTCTTGACGACAGATCCCAGCTCCACTGGCTTGTCGCCACAACTTGCTGGCCAACTTCGCTCGTCTCTTCTGACCATCTTCGGTTTCAGCACTTGTCGATGGTTCTGCAACTTGCTAAGAACGGTTCGACAACAGACAACACACGACACAAGCAAGTGCCTTCGGTCACCCAACAGAACACCAGACAAAGTATAGTACAACATATACCTATCTACGTGTCTATCGGAATTTTGTTCCCTCTACATCAAGAGGCACATGTGGGACACAAGACTCTTAAAGTAAGAACTTGAATTTTTCACACTTACAACAACGCAACGAATTAGAATACCACATAAAGTTGGCCCCTTGAGATCACTCTGAACGAAAGCGCTCAGACCAGGTCGTGATGAGGTCAAAATTTTGCCCCGAATTGCCAGCGAGAAACCGAAAGGTTGAGAAGGTACTAGCTAGAACGCACTGCTCAATGCACCTGCATTCGCGTTTAGCTTTCCCCCCTTTTTTGATAGCGAACGTCAAAGTTGCGCTGTGAAGCAACATGCTCCACCTCAGTAACCGGCCACTTTTAGGCGACGATACCTATGCGGCACCAAGAGCGGCTCACACTTGCGACGTTGCACAGGGGAACAGCGATACGGTTTGCTACGGATTGACTCCTCCCCGCTTAGCTCGATATCGTGTTCGATCACCCTCGTGTTTCCGGGGCGGTCCGAAAACACGTCTCCGAACTCGGAAACAATCCTTCTCAGGTCCTCCTTCCGGACTTCACTTAGCCTAGGCTCTAGGTTTAACTCCTCCCAGATTACTTTCGATCCCCCTTCGATTACCTCACTAGTACTCAAAACTTCCGCTCCCTCTTCCTCTGAAGCACTTAAAAGTAAATTTACGACTGCTTTCAAGTTACTGTGATAAATTTTGTTCTGCCGCCTTCCTAATTTCACTTTTATAATTCGTATCGGGAAGCTTCGATATCACTTTGGCGGGCCCTTCCCAAAGAATCTCAATCTTGTTCCTTTTGGACGGCTGCAGCAGCATTACCTGATTATCAACTTCAAAAGCGCGCATCTTCACCGATTTCTCGTAGTGCTCCTTCGACAGCACTTGTGCCGCGTTTTTGTGGCTTTCCACTAGCGCTTCAATCGAGGGATCCTCACGCTGCTCTCGAATGAGTGTCTCTCGATCAACTCTCGGCAGCTCGCTCCAACTTTCCGCTACAGGCGAGAGCGTTGCAACCTTCTCGCTCTGACTCAATGGCGCCATGTCGTCTCCCCCTACGCATACCTCGCCGGCCGCTTCCGCGACGGGCCGCTCGCGTGACCGCTCACATGACTCATGCGGAAAATTTCCTTTCTGGGGTTCCGTCGACCCGCCGACAAGGTCACTTGAGAGTTCACTGCATTGAACCAGAGCAAGCTGCCGCGATAGCTTCCGCGCTTGCGATCGCGTGAGGGCCATGCACGCTAAGTTGGGGAAGAACGATTTGCCCTGCTCTTTGAGAAGCTGCTCTGAGTTGTTGGAGAAAAGGTAAGGAAAACGATCATTTAGCGCGGCAGACACAGCCGCTTCGGTGCGAAGCTTACCGAACGGGCCTTCAATGACAACCGTGGCGATTGGTAAGCGAACAAACTGCTCCTCGTCGACTTGCCTGATCCACGCGCATTCTCCTGTAAAGTCATCCGGAGACACCAATGAAGGATAGACAACGTCCATGGTTGCCGCTGAGTCTCTAAGTGCTCGGCACGTTTTCTCATTCACCCTAATTTCTTGGAGATACGGCTCCAACAACCGCATGTTTTTTTCTGATTCTCGGATTGTTGCGAAGGCAAACTTTTCCTGACAGTTTCTCGCGATGTGTCCTTCCTTTTTGCAGTTGTAGCAGATTAGCGGCTTCCGTTTGTTTTCCGATTCAAATGCCTGTGTGGTAGAAACCTCACTCGATTTCTCCCCTTCTGTTTGCCTTTCCCCTACACAGTCCTTCGTAAGACACGGGTCCTTCTTGAAATTACGGTGCGGAGCGGGTCTCCGTTGATCAGGTTTCTTTGAAAAGCCCTCTTTTCTCTCATATTTTCAACGTGCACTGCCCTGCTGTGCAACTTTCGGCGACTATAATACTCCTCAGCTAACTCTGCTGCCTTGTTTAGCTGTACTTCACCAAGTCTGTCCTGCAGCCAAAGCCTGACATTATCCTCGATGCAGCGGTAGAATTGCTCCAATGCAACGCATTCCACCACTTTATCGCGGTCGTCATAAACACCTTCGCCCTTGAGCCATTCAATTAAATCAGCTTTAAGACGAA